CACACACACACACACACACACACACACACACACACACACACAAAGTCCCAATGCAATAGGCCCTTCGGCTCCCCCTCTAAACTGAACTTGGCATATCCTTACCCTGGGAACTCTCTCCCCATTTCCCAGCCCTCCTGGATCCAAACAGAGGCTGAGGCTCAACGTTGGGCTTTTGGTGTGTCAGCGCTACAAGGCCCAGCTGGTTCTCTCTCTGTTCACTCACTTGACTCAGTTGTTCAAGGGTGGGCATTCCCGAAGTGTGATATTATCGCTTTGTGATAATGTACCCAATTCTCATCCCAGAATGGCTGGAGCAGCCACGGGACAGAGGTTTTGCAACAGAGCAACATGGATCCTCTATAAATACCTCTCCTACTCTATCTGCCACAAGGCAGGGCTCAGCAAAAAGAAACTACCGACTTAAAGTCTAAAGCCTTCTGGGGTGAGTCTGATGGCAGTAACTCAACAACTTAAGTGGCTTTTTGTCCTAGAAATGATAACATCCACTGATGACTTTGATGACTAATAAGCTGTAACAGCTGTTGAAATAAAGTCTTCAAACATATTGGAGGAAAAAAAAGAAGAAAGGTCTGGCTCAGTGGTGAGCAAAGCAGACCTTCACAGGTCATCAAATACAAGAGGGACTGGCTCAGCCAGCAGGGCGTGTCCAGCCAAATTCCCCAGGCAATCAGACCATACAACATAATAACCAACCCAAATAAACACAAAGATACATCTATCACATGGATTCAAACATGCCACTGTGTATAAAGTGTAATGCAGTGCTCAAGGTGAATCAGGTGCACTAAATGGTAGGCACTATTATCTTTATTCTTAATTCCAGAAATTAAAGGGGGTTTCAGATGTCTAGAACCCACTTAAGACGAACAATAATCCTAACTGGCTTAGCCACTACTTCTTGTTCTCTTTCCTCCAGATTACATCTTGATTTGGGGGATCCTGACCCCAATTAATACACATGAGACACCCCCTTTTTTCTAGCAAGAGAATAAAAAGAGACATCAAGATTCTGGGGGGTACAGAACTGTCTAGAATGATAGAGAATATTAATGGGGAAAAAATAAAATTAACTTTATTTCCTGAAAAGTTGAGTAAATTTATTTTAAAACAACAGGGTACCTACATAGGTATTTTATTTTATTTTTTTCTATATAGGTATTTTAAAAACATGTTTGGTAATGTGAAAAGAAATGGCTAGGAGGTACATTATACAACTAACTTTTAAAATAAAACATATAAAAAAATCTCAGACGCTCTTGATGTCATACGTAGAAGAATTCAGAAAGAAACGTAACAATTAACAATAATTCTAATACGCAGTGCATTTGTACTGGGAATGTGGGTGATTAGTCAAAATAGTTAATATCCAGTAGCCAGAATCACATGGATACCAAACAACTGGAACAGAACCTCGGTCAATGAGGATGGATCCTGGCCACAAGCAATCAGTCTCATGTACCTGATGGTAACGCTGTGTGCCACGCCCGCCTTGTCTACTTTAAAATAACCTTGCCATCACCCAACAGGGCCAATGGAAAAAAATCGCTGTCCACCTGAGTTATGCACAGTGGAGGTGAACACGGCACTCGGCTGTGGCAGAATAGGCGATCTATTGAATGTCTCCATCAGCACGAGAGACTTAGAGGTCGAAAGCCTTTGGCAGAATTCTTATGTTGGTTTGCCAAGCTATGACTGACTTTCCAAGACTGAGTTCTAAAAAATAACCCTGATAATTTCATCCTTGGCTCTACATGGAGGCCAAGGAGAGAATGACATGATGTTCCCATTATGTAGTGGGAAATGTTTTAAACCTACAACTAGAATGAACCCTTAAAACTGGACAACTTGAGTTCATACACTAAAGGATATCGATCGACCAAAGGCAACTGACTCTTAGGATGAGGCGGAGGTTATGGATGGAGAGATGGGAAGAGAGAATCTTTTTCAAGTCACCCATAGAGACTATTTGCTATTCTCATAAA